TCCGTCACACACCCTGAGGCTTGGGAGACGTTGGACCTTTCAACAGGACAATGATCCCAAGCATACCTCCAAGTCCACTAGAGCATGGTTGCAGAGGAAAGGCTGGAACATTTTGGAGTGGCCATCGCAGTCACCAGACTTAAATCCGATTGAGAACCTCTGGTGGGACTTAAAGAAAGCAGTTGCAGTGCGCAAAGCCTAAGAATGTGACTGAACTGGAGGCCTTTGCCCATGAAGAATGGGCGAAGATACCCGTAGATCGCTGCAAGACACTTGTGTCAAGCTATGCTTCACGCTTTTTTAAAAGCTGTTATAACTGTAAAAGGATGCTGTACTAAGTACTAAGATTGAATGTCACTTGGGGGTTGAATAAACTGATAATGCTGTGAGCACAGAAAAGACATTTGTGGTTATTTCATTATAACTGTTATGTTATATTTGTCTGACCTACAAGTGCCTCTTTAATGTAAATGTAAGCAAGATGACTGAATGATCAAAAGCAATGTCAAACTGGCCAAAACACTCAATTTCAGTGGGGGTTGAATAATTTTGGACACAACTGTATATTGTACATTCACATCAGTCCCTAACCCTCAAGGGGCGTACAATCCAAGGTCCCTAACCCTCAAGGGGCGTACAATCTAAGGTCCCTAACCCTCAAGGGGCGTACAATCTAAGGTCCCTAACCCTCAAGGGGTGTACAATCTAAGGTCCCTAACCCTCAAGGGGCATACAATCTAAGGTCCCTAACCCTCAAGGGGTGTACAATCTAACGTCCCTAACTCACATTCATACATACACATACTAGGGACAATTTAGACAGGAGCCAATGAACCTCCCAGCATGTCTTTGGAGTGTGGGAGGAAACCGGAGTACCCAGAGGAAACCCATGCAGGCACAGGGAGAACATGCAAACTCCAGGCAGGTGGTGCAGTGGTTGGGATTCAAACCAATGACCCGAGTACTGCCAGGCGGAAGTGCTAACCATTTAGCCACTGTGCTGCCCAATACAATTATTATCATTAATGTATTTATTGCTTTCATTATTTAACCCCCCTGGAGGTATTCCCGAGTGTAGCTCAGGGTTAATTATCAGTACCAGAAGCGGTAACCCCGAGCTACACTCAGGAATACCCTGTAGCATTACTCTGGGATCCCCATTTCACTTACCTTGTCCTGCGCTCCCGCGATGTCCCTCCTGCAGTGTCCCCTGTAATGTCCTCCGGCTGATGCCGGCATCTGTCTTCCGGGTTCCGTTCCCTGCGACGTCGGGACGTACGGGGGACGGAACTGGCGGGAAATTTAAAATTTTTAAAAGTGACATTCACTAAATACACTAAAATCACATAGTATAACATTCCTGTATCAAACCATTTCACATACATTTTGTCCCGAGTACTTTGTCCGGCGCCCTTCCTGCATTTTTACTGTTCTTTCTGCCTGGAAACTGAGAAACGTCCATGGCGTCCAAAAAGCGTCCCTTTAGGTCAGACGCGGTTTTAGACCGGCTAGAGAACAGCGATAGTAAATCAGAATCACTTGCAGAATTGAGTGATAATGATTCGTGGGGGAAATTCATCATCAGACACTGAAAACGATTCTGTGACTTTGCTCAGCGATGTGCGAACTTGGCGCTCTATTTCACATTTCAGTGTTTTTGGTTTGATTATATTATTGAATTAAAATTATTATATTATTATTTTTTATGATTATTTATTAAATTATAATTTATGATTTCGTGTTTTAAATTTTATCATCCCCGGGATGTTTACTAGACTCTTGTTCGGACAGATTTCAGTGAATTATTCCTAAGAATTACAGGCATACAATAAAAAAAAAACGACATATTTCCATGCAAAAAAATGTACCGCTTTGAGCACAGAAATACTGACATCATCAGACCGCTAGGGAGGTTAATAATTGCAACCTATTTAAAAGGAGGGCTCATGTAAAAAAAAAAACGAAAAAACACGCCATGCTCAGATCTGTATGGTGTTTATTCTACTCTTTATGGCCGTACGATGTAAAATACGCCAATGCGTCATTCTTCCCATAGAACTGTATTATAGGATACGCTATACATGGCTACAAGCATGTAAACGCGGATGTTTGCAATTGCGCGTGTATGCGTCTAGACGTACGGTCACGGAAATTCGCCTTCAGCCATTCAAAGCATGTAGGATGTAATGTAATGTATATCTATGGCAGAATTATGCTGCAGTTGTGGCCCCCAGGGTGTTGTAAGTACAGGCATAGGCCCTAAAGATAGGTTCACACTGCTGCGTATCAGAGGTGCACACAAAATCGCAGGATTTCCCAACATGCAGCGAGAGGCACTGCCATTTAGCAGACGCATGGCGGTGCCATTAAAGTTACTGTAAAGGTAGAATTTTAAATAAACAAACATGTCCCACTTACCTGCTCTGTGTAATGGTTTTGCACAGAGCAGCCCCAACCCTCCTCTTCTGGGGTCCCAAGCTGGCTCTCCTGGCTCCTCCTCTTCTCTGGTCCCCCGCAGGCTCTCGTGGCTCCTCCCTCGTGTCGGGTGCCCCCATAGAAAGCAGCTTGCTAGGGGGCACCCCCTGGCTCCTCCCCCTTGCCATTACTATGGGGGCACTCGTGTGCTCGCTCCCAAGCCTTGCTCTGTGTCCCTATAAAACATACAGAGCACGGCTTAGCCCCCCTCCTGCTGTGATTGACCATTGGCTCTGCTGCTGCTGTCTCATCCAATAAGAAAGGAGAATCCGGGGACAGCCGCTGCTCCTGTGCAGAACGCTGGATCACAATGGGGCTCAGGTAAGTATTCGGGGGGGGGGGGGGGGGGGGGCAGCTGCACACTGAAGTTTTTTTTAACCTTCATGTATAGAAGGTAAAAAAAAACCTTCAGGCTTTAGAACCATCTTCAGCCCGGGTTCATACTGATGCAGAGCGTTTTCAGTGCGAATTCTGCACCGCATCAGAATCGCGCCCTGTTCATGCAAACCAATGCAGGTGTGTATGTTAAGTTAGCAACACCCCAAAATCGGTCCGCAAAACGCAGTGCTATGTGCAGAATTGGATTGCATGGGTGTGGATACTAGGATTCTAGTGCGGACTCAAAAAAGGGTCCTGCGCGTTTTTTGTGCGGACGCGTTGCGATTAGAGACACACAAAACGTATTTCTCCGATCGCACCGCACACAAATCACATGTGATTTTCCCAGGAATGGGGTGCGGTTCCTGTGCGAATCACATGCGATATACCGCACCGCATCAGTGTGAACCTAGGCGAATTGTTAATGGCACCCCCACACTTCTGCAAACGTGCGCATTTTTGTGTGCGCCAAACCGCATGGCCACGCAGCACCATGCATGTTAGTATGCTGCGGAGATTCTTCGGCAGCCCAATGAAATTAATTGGCTGCCCAATGCGCAGAAACGCTTCCACCCTTGGTCGCACCTGTAGGTATGAGCCAATCAGAATACATGCCCTGGTGCCAGGGGTGGACTGACAACTCATGGGGTCCCCGGGCAACAGGTGATCATGGGGCCCCTGTATCCTCGCCCACACTCAAAAAAAGCCTATGAAAGTTACTCATGGGGCCCCCTACTGACCCCGGGCCCTCGGGCAGTGCCCAAGTTCCCAAATGGTCAGTCCGCCCCTGCCTGGTTCAAAAGCCATGCATATGGCAGCGTTTAGCTCTGTATCCATATTCTGGACACATTTATGGGCATTTCCCGAGTACATTATGTGCCGTCACATGCGGTTTATATGCGTTTTTTATATGTGATTAAATTTGGTGCATCCATGTGCATGAGTCCATACAAGGACAAAGCCACGGCCAGGAGTTTCCTACAAACATATCTACAGCCAAAAACTTTTTTTTTTCCTTTACTTTGGCTGGGGTGTGTAAGATTTGTGTCCCTGCTGGAGGCATTCACCTTCTCCCTTTGTACTGATGACAACAGTTAAAAAATGAGAAATACAAAACTATTCAGCTGTCCATGGAGCGGGGAGGGGGGGGGGGGGTCACCACGGAACGTGTGCCATATGGACAGTACAGGGACAGGTTCGTCTAGTGCCCAGGGCAAGGATGTGGAACTGTACCCCTCCCCCCACTGTTAATGCATACCAAAGAACGGCTTTATTGCTCTATGTCCATTTTTCCGCCGCGCCCGGGGCAGCTGCCCCTTCGGCCCACCCCTTGTCCTGGCCCTGCAAATGGAGATAATGGAAGACTGGCCATACACAGAAGCTACAATATACATGATTCTTCACACCTATTAAAGTGTATCTAAATGTATTTTTTTTTTTGCATACAATGTAGAAGGGTCCAAAACCCTAGTATGTTCTTGTTGGTTCTAGTGACCATTATCACTTGGACTGAAAGTGAGAGAAATCTTGAGTAGTCACCGAGACAGATATAGAGGGAAATCTTCCAATGGGGACACTTAACTATCCAACAGAAGAAGATTTCCCTTCAATGTCCTGCTGTGCCTCCTAGACAGGAAATGAAGGGAAAATCTGTCCAATGGGATACAGCCAGCAAATGATGAAAGTGTTACTAAACCCACAACAGTAAAATCAGTCTGTACATCCAGTAAAGCATGCTTGTTATACTCACCTAAGGGGTTAATCCTTTGCATTGTGTAAAAAGGCTGTTTGATCCTGTCTTCTCTGATCCTCCCCTTCTTCCACTGTCCCCAATCCATGTGTTTATAGTACAGAACTCTAGGAGTCACTCTGGAGAAGCTCAGTTTAGTGAGAAATGCTAGAGTTTTTTTCATTCTTTAGGAGTGTGATCAGCACAGGGCCAATCAGCACTGTCCAGAAAGAGGGTCAGGAGTCATGCAGCCTCATAGGACAGTCAGAGAAGAATGAAAACTCCTGCTACAGAATTAACCAGTGCTCAGTTGGACACTGATAGAAGTCACAAGACTGCTCTATACTGTTGATGAGAAAAGGTATTTAGCAGTTTATATTTACTAAAATAATTGCATTTCCATGTTCTGTGTACTGTAGGAGAGCATATATAGTGAATGCAGGGTCCGGGAGACCAGATATAGTGAATGCCGACCGGATATAGTGAATGCAGGGTCCTGGGAGACCAGATATAGTGAATGCAGGGCCCGGGGAGACCGTATATAGTGAATGCGGGGTCCGGGGAGACCGTATATAGTGAATGCGGGGTCCGGGGAGAGCGGATATAGTGAATGCGGGGTCTGGGGAGAGCGGATATAGTGAATGCGGGGTCCGGGGAGAGCGGGATATAGTGAATGCGGGGTCCGGGGAGAGCGGATACAGTGAATGCGGGGTCCAGGGGAGAGCGGATATAGTGAATGCAGGGTCCGGGGAGACCGGATATAGTGAATGCAGGGTCTGGGTGGAGACCAGATATAGTGAATGCAGGGTCCAGGGAGAGCGGATATAGTGAATGCGGGGTCCGGGGAGACAAGATATAGTGAATGCGGGGTCCGGGGAGACAAGATATAGTGAATGCAGGGTCCGGGGAGACAAGATATAGTGAATGCGGGGTCCGGGGAGACCGGTTATTGTGAATGCAGGGTCCTGGGAGACCAGATATAGTGAATGCGGGGTCCGGGGAGACCGTATATAGTGAATGCAGGGTCTGGGGAGACCAGATATAATGAATGCAGGGTCCGGGGGGAGACCAGATATAATGAATGCAGGGTCCGGGGGAGACCAGATATAATGAATGCAGGGTCCGGGGAGACCAGATATAATGAATGCAGGGTCCGGGGAGAGCGGATATAGTGAATGCGGGGTCCGGGGAGACCAGATATAATGAATGCAGGTTCCGGGGAGAATGGAATAGTGAATGCAGGGTCCGGGGAGAGCGGATATATTGAATGCAGGTTCCGGGGAGAGCGGATATAGTGAATGCAGGGTCCGGGGAGAGCGGATATATTGAATGCAGGTTCCAGGGGAGAGCGATATAGTGAATGCAGGGTCCGGGGAGAGCGACATAGTGAATGCAGGTCCAGGGAGACCAGATATAGTGGATGCAGGGTCCGGGGAGAGAGCGATATATAGTGAATGCAGGGTCCGGGGAGAGCGGATATAGTGAATGCAGGGTCGGGGAGAGCGATATAGTGAATGCAGGGTCGGGGGGAGAGCGGATATAGTGAATGCAGGGTCCGGGGAGAGCGGATGGGGATGATATAGTGAATGCAGGGTCCGGGGGGAGAGCGGATATAGTGAATGCAGGGTCCGGGGGAGAGCGGATATAGTGAATGCAGGGTCCGGGGAGAGCGGAATATAGTGAATGCAGGGTCTGGGGGGGAGACCAGATATAGTGAATGCAGGGTATAGTGAATGCAGGGTCTGGGGAGACCGGATATAGTGAATGCGGAGGGTCCAGGGGGAGACCGGATATAGTGAATGCAGGGTCCGGGGGAGAGCGGATATAGTGAATGCAGGGTCCGGGGAGAGCAGATATAGTGAATGCAGGGTCCGGGGAGAGTGGATATAGTGATATGCAGACAGGGTCCAGGAAGACCAGATATAGTGAATGAAGGGTCCCGGGGAGACCAGATATAGTGAATGCAGGGTCCGGTCTGGGGAGACCAGATATAGTGAATGCAGGGTCCTGGGGAGACCAGATATAGTGAATGCGGGGTCCGGGGAGACCAGATACAGTGAATGCGGGGTCGGGGGGAGACCAGATATAGTGAATGCGGGGTCCGAGGAGAGCGATATAGTGAATGCAGGGTCCGGGGAGACCAGATATAGTGAATGCGGGGTCCGGGGAGACCAGATATAGTGAATGCGGGGCCCGGGGAGAGCAGATATAGTGAATGCGGGGTCCGGGGAGAGAGCAAAATATAGTGAATGCGGGGTCTTTTAAGAGAGCAGATATAGTGAATGCGGGGTCCAGGAGACCAATATAGTGAATGCAGGGTCCGGGGAGAAAATATAGTGAATGTTGGGTCCGGGGAGATGCCGGATATAGTGAATGCGGGGTCCGGGGAGACGGATATAGTGAATGCGGGGTCCGGGGAGACCGAAGATAGTGAATACGGGGTCCGGGCAATTAGATCAGGATATATAGTGAATGCGGGGTCCGGGGAGACCGGATATAGTGAATGCGGGGTGAGACCGGATTATAGTGAATGCGGGGTCCGGGGAGATCGATATAGTGAATGCGGGGTCCGGGGAGACCGGATATAGTGAATGCGGGGTCCGGGGAGACGGATATAGTGAATGCATCAGGCATCAGGCATTTTTTTTTTTTTTACGGCTTCCAAATGCCCCTCCATGTTTCTATGTGTCCATGCACACACAGGCTTTTAGAAGCTTTGAGCAGCAGTAGTGTGTTTACCAGCAGGAAAAAAAAAACCCAGTGCCAGTGCGTCCCCGAAGCAGCAGCGTTTTGCCAGAAAAATCGCTTGATGCAGCTAAATGCATCTTAATGAGTCTCAACACACCTAAAAGTGTATTTAGCGCTTAAGCGTCAATTAATTTCAATGGCCAGAATACATTCTCATTCTGGCCCATGAAATGAATTAATGCCCAAGCGCTTAACGCCTGTAAACGCACCTAAATGCTCGTTAGATACTTTTACAAGCATCAGGGGTTTTTTTCTGCAAAAATGCTGCTGCCAGGAGGAAAGCTTCTAAAAGAGGTTTCTTTTGTTAACATCAGGTGAGCATGGGGCCCTAAATTAAATCTAATTTTCATTACATAGCTTATTTTAGACCTGATACTGTCATCACTGGGTCTCTGCACTTCTCTATGAAATGCAGGCAGATCACAGCTGGTGGGAGGGGCCTGCATGGCGCTGTACATAACTTCCTGAAAACATCTCAGTACTCTTCTCAAGAGACCTCAGTCTTAATAAAGGGCGGACTGACCATTTGGAAACTCGGGCACTGCCCGAGGGCCCGGGGTCAGTAGGGGGCCCCATGAGATGCCCCTGGTACCTTTTTCATAGGCTTTTTTGAGTTTGGGCAAGGGCACAGGGGCCCCTTTTGCCCGGGGGCCCCATGAGTTGTCAGTCCGCCCCTGGCCCTAATACAAGCAGTCAGCTGGCTCTTGGGAGGAGTTATGCAAATATCAAATTGCCTTGATGGTCTGGTGTCAGTCTAGAGGAGTGGGTGTTCCTAGGCAGGCTGAATTTGCATGCAGACCATTCTAGGTAACACCCACATGTGATGCTAGGCCTCCATGATTGAAAGAACTGAAGTCCACTGAATGAAAGAGGTGGGGCCAGGGACAGTCAGGCTGGGGAGGTAGCTGTTAGATGATGCTGGATGCCCTCCATTGAAGAAAATTGGGTGGTCTTTATCTAACTTGATGCAGCTTCTAATGCCCATTGTGAGAAGCTCAGAGTGTGCAGTGAAATCACTAGCAAAGACCATGTGAGCAATACCTTGGCACTGGTCACATGGACCAGGCACCTTAGGAGACATGGAATATACCCAATTACAGTTTCTTGTATTGTTATTACTTCTTTTTAAAACATACTGAATTGCTGTGAATTTCTAAGCATTTTGTCACGCTAATTTCTACAAGAAATACGAATTCAACAGTTTCACCCATTTGTCGGGATAACCCCAAAAATGGAGTTTCCTCCCCCAGCCATTATTACGGAGGGGTCCCCCCCCAATAGCTATTAATATGGAATTGTTCCTGCCTCTTCTTGGAGTTTCTCACTTTGGGGCTACCGCAGCCTCCACTCTTTTGGGAAGACTTAAGACTTATAAATACACTCTATGACCAAAATGTTGTAGACACTTATCACACCTGGACATCCCATTCCAAAACCATGTCCATTATTATGGATGGCCCAGCACCCCCCACATAGCCATTAATATAGAGTGAGTTGTCCTGTCAATGGCCATTAATATGTTGTTTCCCCCCAATGGCCAAATAATATGGAGTTGTTCCCCCCAATGGCCAATACTATGGAGCTGTTCCCCCAATGGCCAATAATATGGAGTTGTTCCCCCCACTGGCCAATACTATGGAGCTGTTCCCCCAATGGCCATTAATATGGAGTTGTTCCCCCCAATGGCCAATACTATGGAGCTGTTCCCCCAATGGCCATTAATATGGAGTTGTTCCCCCTACTGGCCAATACTATGGAGCTGTTGCCCCAATGGCCAATAATATGGAGCCCCCGTCTCCTCCCTTGGCCTTCATCATGGAGTTTCCCCACTTCAAGGCTATAATATCCTTAACTATTCTGGGAAGAATACACATACATACACTATGGGGTAGATTTACGAATACTGGAGAGTGAAAACCTGGAGCAGCTGTGCATGGAAGCCAATCAGCTTCTATCCGCAGTTTGTTCAATTAAGCTTTGACTAAAAAAAACAAGCAAAAAAAAAACTGGAAGCCGATTGGTTTCTATGCAGAGATACACCAGATTTTGCACTCTCCAGTCTTAGTTAATCAACCCCTATATGACCAAAAGGTTGTAGACACCCGACCATCATTACTATATGGTCTTCTTGGACATCCCATTCCAAAAACATTAAAATCGATTTGACACCCCCCATATATGTCCATTAGTATGACGTTGTCCCTTCCATGGCCAGTAAAATGATTTTGCTCCCTCCATGACCATTAATATAGTGTTGTTCCCCCTCCACTTGACCATTATCATGGGGTTTCTCCAATTTAGGGCTATAATAGCATCTACACTTTTGGGAAGATTTCTTGTAGTGTATAATTACATCACCAAAAGGTTTCAGGTATCTGACAATGCCACCTACATGATCCTGTTGGACATCTGGGGGTTTATTTACTAAAGCTGGAGAGTCCAAAATCAGACTCCCTTCTGCATAAAAACCAATCAGCTTCTAACTTCAGCTTGTTCAATGAAGCTTTGGCAATGAAACCTGGAAGCTGATTGGTTTCTATGCAGAAGTGAGTCTGATTTTGCCCTCTCCAGCTTTAGTAAATAAACCCCCTGATGTCAAGACCATGGCCATTATTATGAAATTGCCCCCCCCCCCTTCCACAGCCATTAATATAGAGTTGTCCCTGCCATGGCCATTAATATGAAATTGACCTCTCCATGGACATTAAAAGAGAGTTGTCCCCTTCATGGCCATTAAAAGAAAGTTGTCCCCTCCATGGCCATTAAAAGAGAGTTGTCCCCTCCATGGCCATTAAAAGAGAGTTGTCCCCTCCATGGCCATTAATATGGAGATGTCCCCTCCTTCCCCTTTGCCATCATCATGGTGTTTCTCCACTTGGGGCTAGAACAGCTTCTGCTCCTCTTCTTGGACTGTATAAACACACCTTATGGCCAAAAGGTTGTGGACACCTGACCATCACATCTACAGTATATTCTCTCTTGCTGAACATCTAATTCCATAACCATGGCCATTATTATGACGTTGTCCCCCAAAACCATTAATAAGGAATTACCGCCCCCCACACTATTGACATTGATATGGAGTTTTTCCCTCCATGACCATTAATATGGAGCTGTCCCCTCCCTGGCCATTAATATGGAGTTATCCCCCCTCCATATCCATTGATATGGAGTTGTCCACTCCATGGCCATTAATAT